CGGGAGACAAGCGGGGCCGGAGTCTGCATCACCCGGACGGGTGGAGCCGTGAGGTGCCCAGCCCCGGCCCCCCGGCGCTTCCTGCGGACACTAGTCGCGACTCCAGGGCCGAACTTAACTCTTTAACCGCTCAAGGGCTTGAGCCTGAAAACTGGCAGCTCGGGAACCTGTCCTCCGCCCGCCCTGCGCTCGTCCAAGACCAAGGAATGAGGGGGTGAAGTTGTAGGAAATCCCGGATGGCACCCAAGGTTAGGGAACCCTTTCCGTATTTTAAAAGGTGGTGGGAGGAAAAAAAATTATTTGAAAGAAAAAGTAAGATGATTTTTAAGTCATTTCAAAGTGAATTTAGCAAATAAATCACATGAAGTAGGCTCTCGTTTTTCTAAGCTGAAATAAGGGAACCATAAATACAGTCAATTTTCTATTCCGATGCATTATCCCAACCAAAATTCCCTTTGAATCTGATTGAAATTTTTCAGGTTAACCTTAAATAACTGACAACTAAATCTATTGTTTTAAATCATGCAAATTATGTATATTTCACTGATGGATGTGATGAATATTTAAAACAAAGCAATCACTTCAAGGCACTGTTTAAAAAGCACTTAAATATCGAGTTTTCTCTTTTAACAAGTTGCAATCTGATTTTTAGTGACTGTATTTTCCATTCTCCTTCATGAATGGTAAGACCAAGATTTGAAGGATTAAAAAAGCACAGTTACATAAGTGAAAATCAGTAGATGATCAAGCATTTTAAGACAAGAGATGTTTATAAAGACATTAATTAAAACAGTTTTTAGACAGCAGACTAACATCCGATTTGAATCACCAACCAAAGAAGACTCAATTATTAAACCAATAAAAATATTGGTATAGAAATAAATCCCAGATTGGGCCCTGTAGGATGGTCAGAGCAAAGCTCCAGGGTTCGCTGGCATCTGCCATTCCAGTGCTCACCCAGAAACACAGGTCTGCGGCCACGACTTAGACAACTCAGTAATCATTTTCCACCCCCTTGAATGTGTTCCCTCATGTCTGACCAGTACACTACCAAAGCTGCAGTGTATTTAGAACTTAATATGCATCAAGGCCTTTATCTACATTAGCATTAATCCTCATTCCAAGTATTAGCTTTAAGAGAGACACAAGGAAGAAGCTTGAAGACTTCACTCGAGAACACAGCTAGAAACTAGCATGACTGGGATTTCAACCAAAAAATTGAAGTAACCCTAAACTAGGCAGTCCTTAGAAGGTAAACAGAGGCCCAAACAAGGAAAACCTGTGAGTCTTGTTGGGCAGTGACCTACCCATGGGACACTGCAAAGGGGCTGTGGAGGAAGTGGCACTATATACAGATCGAGGAGTGGACTTTTTCACTGACATTGACTTGGGAGCTGCCAACTCATAAAGTATCCTCACAGTGTGGGTGCAGATGGGATCACTAAAGCACCCAAAGGATCCCTAAGAAATAATAATACTTGTGGGGTAAACAGAGAAAGAATCTCCAGTGGAGATGGAAGAATGCCCAGACAGAAAAACCAGGGAGATGGACAGCCTCAGATACCAGGAAAATGTCGGCAAGAAAGGAGGGAACAACAGCAAATATCAAAAAAAAAGAACAACCTTGGGTGGTGTAGTTTGAGTAACCGGTAGATGAAAAAAAAAAAAAATCCACAATAAAATACTAGCAAGCCTAATTCAATAACATATTAAAGGATCATATACCATGACCAAGTTGGATTTATCTCAGGAATGTAAATGTAGTTCAGAGTTAGAAAGTTAATGCCAATACATCTTATTAACAAAACAAAGGGAAAACAAACTACATGGTCAACATAATTAATGCTGAAAAGGCGTTTGACAAAGTCCAACACCTTTTCATGAGAAAAACACTCAGGAAACTAGACACAAATATGAAATTACTCAACATGATAAAGTATGGATCAATGACTCAAATATAACATCTAAAACAAAAATCTTAGAAAAAAATATAGGGATAAAACTTCACAGTCTTAGATAAGGCAATGTATTCTTAGATATGATACCAAAAACATAAGCAACAAAAGAAAAAAATAGATACAATTGGACTCCATCAAAACTAAAACTTTATAGCCAGGCGCAGTGGCACATGCCTGTAATCCCAGAACTAAGGAAGCCTGAAGCAGGAGAATCACAAGTCTCGCCTGGTTGACTTAATGACTTAAGAAGACACTGTCTCAACATAAAACATAAAAAGGGCTGAGGATGTAGTTCAATGGTCTATAGAGAGCCCTTAGGTTCAATTCCTACTAAGTCTCATGAATTAATTTTAAAATGTTTGTGAATCAAAACATTACCAATTAGCTCAGTGGTTCTGCCACCTGCCTCGCAAGCACAAAGACCCAAATTCAATCCCTGGTACAGGAAAAAAAAATTATCAAGAAAGTAAAAAGAAAACATACATAATAAAATTTTTAAATCATATATCTGTCTGATAAGAATCTGGTATCTAGAATATATAAAAGATACTTACAATTCATTAATAAAAAGACAACCTAATTAAAAATGGACAAAGGGGGTCAGGGATTTAGTTCAGTGGCATCGTGCCTGCCTTGCAAGCTCAAAGTCCTGAGTTCGTTCCCCAGTACAAAAAAAAAAATGGACAAAGGACTTGAGTAGACATTTCTTCACAGAAGATATACACATGGCAAAAGCCACGTGAAATGACAACTTTCAACAGTCATTAAGGAAATGCAAGTCAAAACCATAAGGAGATCATTTCACATCCCCTACCAGATCTATAATCCGCCAGGGATGTAGCTCAGTGGCGCCACGCCTGCCTTGCAAGTACAAGGTCCTAAATTTGATCCCTGGTACAAAAAAAATCTATAATCAAAGATGCAGACAAGTGCTGGTAGGAATTTAGATAACTTGGAGCCCTCCTACACTCCTGATGGGAATATAAATGGTAATAACCACTCTGGACAACAGTGGGCAGTTCCTCAAGACATTAAATAGTTACCACATGACCCGGTAATTCCATGCCCAAGTATATACTTAAAAAAATTTAAAACATCTGTTCACACACAAAAACCTGTACAAAAATGTCCATGAAGCAATATTCATTAATAGCCCAAAAGTAGAAACAACCCAAATTTCCATCAACTGATAAAGAAAATGTATCATCCATACAATAGATTATTTCTACATAAAAGTTATGAAATACTGGTATGTGTTGCAACATGGATTAACCTTGAAAACATTATGCTAAGTGAAAGAAGACAGATACAAAAATGCTACGTGTTATATGATGTCATCTACATGAAACATTCAGAATGGGCAAATTCTTGGGGACAAAAATAGATTGGTGACTGGGCCAGTAGTCAAGGGAAGGGGAGAATGGGGAGTTACTGCTAACAGGTAAGGTACTTTTGTGGGGCTTGATGATGATGAAAATGTCCTGGAAAGAGGCAGTGGTACAGCTGTACAATCTTGAGAATATTCAAAACTCCACTGAATTCAAAAATAATGAATTGTAAGTAGGCAGGTTTTTTTTTCTCTCTCTTTTTTTCCCTTTACTCTTTTTGCAACACTGGGGGTTGAACCCAGGGCTCTTGCAGGAGCTACATCTCCAGCTTTCCTTTTTTTATTTTTTTGAGACAGGGTCTTGCTAAGTTCCCAGGCCAGGGCTCAAACTTGTTATCTTCCTGCCACAGCCTCCCAAAGTGAGGTGTTCCTTAATACTTGTCCTCCAGAAGGCTGGGGGAAGAAAGCCTGCCAACTGGCTCTGTCTCAGTAGCTGCCAGAGTAGGTGCTTCCTGTAACTAACTGCTGTTAGGCTGAACCCATGGTTATGACTGCCTGGGGCTGGCCCTAGCCCACCCAGGAGAAGCTTGTTACAGGAGCTGCCGCATCACCCAGAGTCACAAATTGCTACAACTGCTGCATTTCCTTATGACTGCCTGGAACATGGGCATTAAAACTGGGGATTCCTTCTTGGAATGTGGTGGGATGGGCTAAAGCATGCAGATTCCAACTTGATACCTTCCCTCCAGGCTGTAATCCTAAAAGTGACTCAGATTGCTTCTCTCTCAAGCAAGGCCCCACGGCTTTTTATGTGTCCTCCACCAATGCAATTCAACTGAATTCCATTCCTCCTGAGATGAAAGGATCACTTCTGAGTTTCCAGCTACTCACTCCATCTTAACTTTGTTTTCTTGATAAAAGTAAATGCGCTGGTTTTAACATTTATATTTTCTTCTATCAAGACTTTTTCCTGACTCATATATACAGATTCCCTAATCCATGAATAATTGAGGGGGCAATGAACGGCAGAGCCCTGACTATCTGGAGATCTGAATGGGAATATTGTTTTTCCGTGAGACTCACTTTAAGGAAAATCATCCACCTCACACAGAATTTAACAATCTGTTAAGTATTAATGGATTAGTAAAATGTTTATCACAACTGTCCAGACTCAGATGTTCTTCTTTCTTGTCTGTTTAATGTGTACTGTTGTGTTTTTGAGGCAGGATCCAGCTTGGCCTTGACCCAGAATCCTCCAGCCCTAGACTCCCAGGTGTTATTGTTACAGGCCAACATCCCCAGCCTCCTTGCTTTTTTCGTTTGAGGCTGGGTCTTGATCAGTCACTAAATCGCACAAGCTGGGTTGAAAAATGTGATCCTCCTGCTTCAGCCTCCAAGAATGCTGGTATTACAGGCATGTACCACCACGCCTGACTTCTGATTTCATATTTTTAGTCATAGAAATAGTATTAGAGCTTCTCAAAACACATAATTCTTGTCCCGTTTATCTCTATTTGGGAAAAGGGCCTTTTAAATTTCAAAACTGGTCTTTAACTCATTTGTTTCTCATAATATATTGTTCCTTTTTCCCCTCTTCCATTCAGTTTCTAATAGAGTTCTTGGTGTGTCAGTGGGCATTAAAGTAGTGAACTTATTTCTTTGAAAATGTAGCCTGGTGATGTCTGGCCTGGTTTTGGAGAACCTACACTCTCTTAGCATCCAGTAACCACTCTTGGAGTATGGACTAAATAAAAGGCACACAAATTTTGGGCGTTATCCCAACCACGTAACACAATTCATGACAATGTGGCAAGTAACTTATCCTCTCTAAACTTCCGTTTCCTAATTTACAAAAGTAAGGATAATATAGCTCTGAGGATTATATGAAACAGCCTATGTAAAGGACATTTGTAGTTCTTCAGATGTGTTAATTGTTCCACCCCTTTAAAACATAAATAAAAACGAGAAGGGAAGTTACAATTAAGATGGAGTAAACATATTTCACCTTGTTTTCCCCAACTGTCAAACCCAAGAACTATCGACCAAGAATGTGATAGCCAGCAAAAATATACTTCAAAACACGTGACTCTCTGTGATTCAGCCTCCCAGAATGCTAGGATTGCAGACATGCACCACCATGCCCAGCTTACACATTCTTCTTAAATGCATATGGAATATTCATCAAGAAAGAACATATCATGTACCATAAAACAAGCCTTAACAAATGTAAAAAGTATTGACGTAAAATATATTGTGATCTTAACAGAAGACAAATAGAAAGCAGTAATAGAAAAATAACTGATAAATCTCAAAAATATTTGGCCATTAAATAGGTCTTATGGTCAAAGAAGGAGTTTCAAGGGAAATTAGAAATATTTTCAAATAATATACAACATATCAAAATGTATAAGGTGCAGTTTAGAGCAGTGCTCAGAAGGAAATTTATAGCATCAGTTGCTTCATTAAAGGGAAAAAGAGTCAAATCAATATTCCATGCTCTATCATGAGAAACTTCAGAAAAAGAGGAACCAAATAGAATCAAAACAAGCAGAAAGAAGGAAATAATAAAGAGCAGAATTAATGAAATTGAAAAAGGAAATAAAGCAAAGAAAACATCAATGAAACAAAAGCTGGTATCTTGAAAAGATCAATAACTGATTAATCTCTAGCCAGACTGGCAAAGAAAAAAAGAAATAAAACAAAAGTTGCTAATATCAAGAAAAGGAAAGATCATTTCAGACCCATCACACATTAAAATAAAAAATAGGACTGGTATGAACCACTTTGCATAGAGAAATTCTAGTATCTATCACTAGTGAATAAGATAGCTGGATAGTTTAAAAAAACTGGTTTATTTCACTAGATACTAGGGTATCTATCAGAAACTCCTAACTAGAGCCAACCATGTAGCTCAGTGGTGAAGAAAGAAAAAGCAAAAAGAAACTCATACCTAACCTCAAACTCAGTGAAGAAAAACTGAACGCTTTCTGTCTAAGAGTGGAACAAGTCCCATGTGTTCACTCTCACTGTTCCTATTCAACATCACACTTCCTAGCCAGTGCATAAAGCAAGGGGAAAGAAAGATGTGCAAATTGGAAATGAAAAAATAATACTGAGTTTTTTGTGCACAACATAATTGTCTATGAAGAAAATTCCAAAGAATATACAAAATGGATCCTTGAATATATAAATGATTAACAAAACTGTAAGATACAAGGTCAACATACAAAAAAAAGCAATCACATTTCTTTTTTAATCACATTTCTATATGATAATAATGAACAAATGAAGTTTTTATTTTATGAAACTTTTAAAAACGACATTTATAACCCCAGAAATTGATATGTATAAGTATAAATTAAAGCATGTGTAGTGCCTGTATGTTGAAAACTGCAAAATGCTAATGAAAATAACCAAAGAAGTCCTAAACAAATGGAGAAACATACTAGGTTCATGGATTAGAAAATTCCATATCATTATGTCATTTCTCCCCCAAACTAATCTATAAATTCAATGCAAATCCAATCAAACTCCAAGCATTAATATTTTTATATCTACAGAAATTCATTTTTACTGCTTTATATTTGCCATCCTATTTATTCTACTCTGCTATGTATTATAATGATATAGGCAGAAAAAAATTTTCTGTTTTGCAATGAGTAGAAATGTAAATTTTAACAATACAACAAAGACTTGTGGCAAAGTAGTTATTAAATATATACCATTATTATATGATTCTATATGATAAAGAAATATAACTGAATATTAAGAGAAAACAGGAGAAAGTAGACCATGAAAAATAAAATATACCTTTAAGAAATTGATTTGAAAATTATATATAAAGCTATAAACAGAAATCACTACACATTTAATAGTATGAATGAAAAAGAAAAACCATAATATCAAAAACTGGCAAGAATGTGAAGAAACTAGAATTCTCTTAAGTTGCTAATAGCAATGCAAAATGATGCAGCTACTATGGAAAACAGTCCGGCAATTTCCAATGAAATTAAACACATACTTGGGTGATTCAGTAATCCTGCTCTCAGGTATTTACTATAGGAAAAATGAAAGCCTATATTCACATAAAAACTTGTCCGTGAACATTTATAGCTGCTATATTCATAATTATCAAATACTGGAAACAACCTGAAGAGCCTTGAACAAGTAGATAAGCAAATTTCAGTGCAGCCATATAATGGAACACGACCTAGCAATAAAAAGGAATGAACCAGTGCTACACGAATGGCTCTCAGTGAAAAAAGCTAGTCTTGAAATGTTACTTACATGTTCTCTGGTTTCATCTATATAACTTTCTAGAAAAGGTAAGACTACCGGAGTAAGGACTGGGATACGGAATTTGTCTAAAAGGGCAGCAAGAGGAAGTTTTTTGGGGTGATAGAATTGTTCTATCCTGATTTTAGTGCTGTTATATGAAATTTTACATGAGTTAGAACTGCATTCCTCAAAAGGTTCACTTTTTACTCTACATAAACGTTTAATTAAAAAACAGCAACTGATGTAGTTTATATTTCATTTTGATCCAGATAAGATTTTAAATTATTTCCCTTCATTGTAAGACACATTAAATATAAACCCTAAGAGGAACTTTGCTGCTAGAATTTATTTAAAATTACTGTTTTTAATTTTAAGTTCAGTGATCTGAGCATTTGCTATATCTCAGATTTAAAATATTCAGTAAAATTACTTAAAAGTTGATTTTTACTTGTTTTTATTTTTTTCTGGTGCAGAGAGTCAAACCCAGGGCTTTGTACATTGTGTTTCATCCCCAGCGCAAGTTGATTTTTACTTGTGAGTGATTTTACTTAATATTTTCCTTTCAGTTGCTCAGGGGTCCTCATGAAAGGAGGGAAGTTTTTATGCCCCTGCTCAAGCATATATGCAAATCTTTCCCCTCATAGCTGACATAACTTTCACTGTTTTGCATTAAGAATATAAAGCTTTACTTAGTCTAGATTCTTTTTAAAAAATTACTTTAAAAGTGATATTATATTTCTTTTGCATATTTAAAAACATTTGCTGGGCATGGTGATGCATGCCTGTAATTCCAGCACTCAGGAGCTAAGGCAGAAGGATCACCAGGCTGCATAGTGAGTTCAACACCAGGCTGAACTACACACTTACAAAAAATAAAAATAAATAAATTATTTTAAAAATATTTTAAGTGAAACACATAGAAACCAACAATGTATTCCTTTTAGGTATATAAACAGGACTACTCTGAGACCCCTAATGAATACAATACATCTGTAACAACCAAGTGGTTAGAGACAAATCACCCAAGAGAGAGATTTAAGGATAATTTGCAAACGGTTGGTGTCACATACACACAGCTATCTACATGATAAGGTGATCATCAGGAACCAAATGGAGCACTAGAAGGAAGAAGTCAGATTAAGAAGAAACCATGAAGGGCCGGGGATTTAGCTCAGCGGTTTGGTGGCCTGCCTTGCAAGCGCAAGGACTGGAGTTCAATCCCTGGTACCAAAAAAA